ACCTCTAAATTTTATCATAACATATAATTTTTGTGTAAAAACTTCTTAGGATTGTGTTAAAATTTGTTTTCATCGTTAATTATACAATTTTAAACTCTAAAAATGGTTAAAATCAAGTAGATCTATAAATATATGAAAATCTTGAAAATAACGGTCTAGATAATGTGTTGCAAGATGCACTATTTATGGGATTCAAAATCTTTCTTTCTTTTATATTTATACATTTCGATGTCAAGATATCAATTAGAAGGCTTTTCAAACATTAAAACAACCTTTTCCGATGGATTTTTTATGTGCACTGTAGTTCTACATTTTAAGGTTACAACTTTATATAAACTTTATATATATATATATATAAATATAAATAATACTTTGTCTGATTTATCTTCTATAATGGGCACTCATAGCAATTCTCGCAATGAGAAACGCCCTTTTGAAATAGTACCAGCATTACTTGAGAGTCCACCCTTGGCCACTCTCTCACCATCCATTTCACCTATACACCAAATAACCTACCCAGAATATAATGCATCAACCCCAGCCTTTACACCTGCTCAATCAAAGCCGTCTCAGAGGTCTAATCCAAATATTCCTCGTTCCACATTCATAGAAAGAGCTTTCATCATGGATATAACCATTGAAGATCAACTTACCCATATGGACCCAACCAAACTTGCTCCTCTACACGCATAAACCATCTCAATCCCACAAATGAGATTAAAACCCGAGAATACTGTAAAGCTATATTAATGGAAACATGATCTATCTCTGTGGTCCATTATTATCAGCAAAATATAAGAGTAATTGCATACTCTAAAATGCAAATAAAAAAGTTTTTATCTTATGAATAGTGGAGTTGCAACCCCACCCAAGGGAAAAAATTAAATAATCCAGATGTTTCTTATAAATATTATAAGTACGCAGAATACATTGAAGCATAGCACAAACTATTTTAATATCAAAATCTAAACAATTCTCATAGTTGGTACATCCAATTCAGGATGCTCATTTTTGAAAGATTTCTTAGTTGGTTTAAAAATTGGTTTCTTATATGGGGTTCTACAACTGATATTTTACCTCCTGCCTTTAAAGAAACATAGGAGCAGTTTGCGATATTCAATAAGATTGATAATAATACGAATCCACACTTATATTTTGTCACCTTATATCAACTCCCATGGATCATGAAATGGGAATACTCTGTGTCTTCTAATAATACAGCCAACTATACCTATATCCCTCGTTTGGGCAAAACCATCTCTGTCAAATGGTGGGATATTTTCAACATGGATCGCACTACAATTGTACCCAAAAGAATACCACTAGAAAAACCCATTTATAATCCGAATCCTTCTGTTTATAATACTGCCAACACTTCATTCGATTTTCCTACATATCTTTGAAATATGCTCCAAACCAATCCTGATGCTACCAAAGAAACTCTGGAAAAACAAATGCGAGAAATATTTGCAGAAGCAGGACGCAAACCAGTATCCTCAGACGAAACAGTCCAATCCTCTCCAAATTGTGCTAATAGATATTTCCCATTGGAAGAAACAGACCCAAAAGAAGAAGAAGAAGAAGAAGAAGAAGAAGAAGAAGAAGAAGAAGAAGAAGACCCCAATGAATTCAGCCAAAGACCATAAAGATGCTTCACTGTATCAGGTAATCTCATATACTGTACCAGAATGCTTTCCGTACCACATGTCATAATCAAGCTACTGTATCAAGATACCCTCCGTACCAGACACTGTGGCTGCCGACACATACGACAAACTAGACACTGTAGCGGTCGACACATACGACAAACTAGGCACTGTGCTGCTGACATGAGAAAACAAAAATATTACTGTTTCAGATGCTTCTTTAAGCATCTTTCTTTTTCTTTTGTCTTTTCCTTTTTTCTTTACGTTTCTTTTTCTCTCTTTTGGTCACATCAAGTCACTTTCCTCCTCTTCCTTCCTCGCGAAGTTATCTCAGCCTTTGTCTATATAAGGAAGCAAGCTTCCTCAGTTTTAGGCAAGTCTGGGAGCTTTCTTCCTTCTCCGCTCTCTCTTGCTCACAGTTCTCTCTGCTCTCTTACCCTCTCATAGTCTTCTGCTCATCTCTCTGCTCGTCTACTCTCTTGATCTCAAGACCACGACTGCCATACTGCGCCACTGCTGCTGTTCTGACCTCACAGCTTGAAACTATCTCATGCTATCCAGGTCTCTTCCTTTCTTTTTGATTCCCCAAAACCAGGTTCTCTCTTATCCTCTTCTCTTATAATTTTATTATGTGCGACTGCAACTTCCACACACTCCCATCATACTGTCCTCAAAATTGGAAGTTATTTTCCAGTTATTGTATCTGTAAGCTGTAAGTGTTTGTTCATATTTCTATTTCTAAGTATTTGTTCATACTACTGTAAAGTTGGTGTGTATACAGTTTGTGTGTATACAGTTTGTACTGATGGTCTATATACATATAATGTTACGGTTGATTTAGAATGCAGTTCAAAATTGTGTTCAGTACTAAAATAAGTAATCACACACACACGTCGTGGTTTGTTATAGATATTTCTGTTATTCCTTTCATCCTAATAATCTTATTCTGCCTAAATTACTACCGAATTTTACAAAAAGTAATAAAGTATAATAGCTTGATTTTTACATACCTTCTATAAAAAGTTAAAAAACTAAAAACTAGTATCTTGGTCCGTTTTGGTATCAGAGCCACTTAAGTGACAGTTACAGTATTACCGTAGAAACCTAACTAAATTTCCATCCAAGAAAGTTGGTCCGAGTGTTAAGGCAAGAGACGGAAGAAGTCTAGGCAAAATACCCACCAAGGCCAGGAGAGCCGTTTAGGAGAACAAGTTGGACCCTTGGTCGTCCAGATTGTCATTATTCGCAACCTACAGATGGCAAATTTAATTAGGAATCTAAAAGGTAAAACAGTAACTCAAACTAGTCAAACATTAAGAGTAAAAAATAAGGAAGAAATAATAATAAATGATGTTGAAAAACATATACAAAATTGGAATATTCCCAAAGTGCCCATCTCAGATATTTATCAAAGGGGAACATTCAATTTAAAACTAGGATATGCCTTATATATATATATATATAGAGAGAGAGAGT